AAGGCGAGCTGGAACAAAAAGTTGACGATAAATCTGCACCAAAATTCGTGTCTATTGCTGTACAAACCGAGGAAGTAAACATTCAGGAAAAAATAACCGATACTGCGTCCGTAAAAGACGAGAATAGTGGCAGTAACAACAATGCATATTCGAAAACTAATGTTTTCCTTGTTCCACAAACACCGAAACTTCCTAAGACTTTCGAGGAAAAAGAGTCAACGCGAAGATTGATCGTCGTATTAGACAAAGCGTGTTTAGAAACTTATAAGGTCGCCAACTCTAAGCCACCGAAATATCAATTGATTAATTATGACGATCACCAAAATGAACTGCGGAAGTTGGGCATTAATAGAGTTTATCGACCAGATATTACGCATCAGGTATAATTCCAAATATTTTGACATACTTTATATGTAGTTTTTTTCAAATCAATTTTATTCATTCTTTAGTGCATGATGGCTTTATTGGACAGCCCTCTAAACAAAGCTGGTTTAATGCAAATTTATATCCATACAGAAAATAACGTATTAATTGAAGTTAGCCCGCATATTCGAATTCCTAGAACGTTTAAACGGTTTGCTGGTTTAATGGGTACGTATAATAATTTTATTACGGTCACACCCCTTATAAATGCATAATCACCTAATCGGAAGCATAGTAACTTTTAAAAAGGCCATATAATATATATTTATATATCAATTATAAGCTTAACAGTAGCTAGTTAAAAAAAGTGTGGGCATATAAAATTTTTCGAGGAAGTGACTTTATGGATGTGCGAAGCTATTAATAAATTCGAATTGGATATCTTTTAACATGTTTTATGTAGTGCAACTTCTTCATAAACTAAGTATTCATTCAGTGGACGGGAAAGAAAAACTATTACGCGTGATTAAAAATCCTGTAACGCAATATCTTCCAACAAGATGTGTGAAATTAGGTAGGCATTTCTTGTTATTTATTCATACAAAAAGGCTTAATTATCTGATAAAATGATCAATTTTTTTCCTCAGCACTCTCATATGATGCCACACCGGTTCGTCTTTCACAGTATTTGCCCACTTTACCTTCCGATCATTCAATTTGTATTGCCATTGGAGCTATGGCTCACGGAGTAGATAATTTTGCAGACAATTGGGTAGATGAAAAAATTGGTATCTCACAATATCCACTTTCTGCTGCGGTTGCATGTTCAAGGTTTTGTTACGAATTGGAAAACCTTTGGGGCATTTGGTAATTGAATATTATTGAATCAAACTTCTAAAATTATTTAACAGGGTTTCGTTGATTATTTTAAGTACTGTTAAGCTAGTAGCAGAGAACAGTTTATTTGTTATTTGTATTAATTTGACGTCATAAAGTATTTGGAGAACCTTTGGTTTTTCATATAGTTTATTTTGAATTGCGTACTTGTGTAAAAATATTCATAGCAACTTTTATTAGGTCTTCCAGTTAAAATTTTTGCAGTTAAAAAAAAAATCGCACATTTCTGGAAAAACATAAACGAAAAAATAAGATGAAGGGACCAAATTCGTCAAGAATGATATTTTTAAACATTCGTTTTGATAAATTTCCAAGTGTGATCAAAGGGAAGATAGTTTCGTAATACCTATTTATCATGTAAACAGATGTATTAGTCCAAGTAATAGAGATCAATAAAAAACAATAATGCACATGATTTAATAAGCATACCAATAACACCACAGGCAAGGCGTTTACCAGCATTACCAGTAGTAAGAGAAAATTCGTGACCACCTTTCCCAAGATCGTCTTTATCTTCATGCACAACAACGGTTCGTCTTTTTTTCAATACAGACCACATAAGTATTCATTAATCATAATCACAAGAATAAAGGATGATATTCGATAAAAGATAAGTACCCGACAATCGAGTGTTCGCCTTCCAAACTGATTTGATTGTCGATGATTTGTTCTTTAACACAACCATCCACAGCTCTAACATTACCCAAATCACCAACATGACGTATTTTATCTCCTTTATCACCATGATTGACATTAAGTGGATTGTAATGGGGTCCAGCAGAGGTACATCCGTTAGTATTATCACCGAATTCACTAATTTTTGTTTTTTTAGATGTTAGATGATTATGACATAGTATACATTATGTTGTGCGTCAGAATAAAATTTGCGTTAGAATAAATTGTGGAATTTTATTAAGGTGAATGCCTAAATTAGGGTATGATTTAGCGGATTTGGATTATTTTTAATCTGACGCAAATATTAATCTGACGTACAATATACGTAAATAAAGAGAACCACATGAATATCATAATTTGGTCGACCACATGAAAAGAAATTTCATTAGCATTTGCAGCTATCAAGTTTCGTTACTACTTAATCTGGTATTTTGTTGACGTTATAACATCATTATCAGCATGAATAAAATACTCGGGATACTCACTGAATATGAAATCCATGCAGGTTGTTTCCGGCTGGAAGCCCTTTAATATCTATATCAACTTTAACTTCTTCACCTTCCTGAGTAAAAATGATTGTACCGTTAACAGTGCCATTTGGTTGATCAGGTCGAAGAACTGCGATAGCTTTTTTAACCATTGTTATCGTAATGATTTATTTGTTCGATGGAAGGAGTTTGTGAATATCGATATTAACTGTATTATTAATTTATAATCAATTCACAGTAACGGTATAAGTATATATCAGGTAACTAAAGATGTTAATCATAAACATCTTTGATTTAATTATCACCACCTAACGATAACGATAATTATTAAGAGATTTTCGCTATTGGAAAAAGTACAGTTGCACAAAGCTTTATCATTATCTGAATTAGATTTATTAAATCTTTATAAGGCTAACTGACGGCTAAAATAATTTAGCATGCCAGGATGCAGCCCTGGCATGCCATAATTAGGACTGGTTCGGCTCATTTTTTCTTACTCGGAAATGATTGTAACGAGATTTTCTAAATTTTTGTAGCACGTTGCACCTGATCTTTCAATATAATTGGCTAGGTAAAATCTATTACCCGGGTAATTTATTTATATTTACTGTAAAAAAGAATCTCAAAAAAAGATCTTTATTCCTTACGGACTTTGTTTAAAAGATAAAAAATATTATATATTATCTATCGAATCATGTGAAGAGTGAAGGTACCGGAAATATTTTCGCTTAGTGATCCAAATCGTTAGTTGAAAAACTAACTAGTTAGCGGCTAATTGTTTAGAGCGAAGAGATTTTACGATACTAAGGCCATTTCAAATTAATTTTCTGTTTAATGTAATACAAAATAACTCGTGAAAGTGGAGAAGAAAGTAGATTAATAAAAAATACTGTGATTTTATTGCTACAAAAAATATAAAAAATACAAAAAACTAAGTGTTATTATATTTACTATATTCAAGATGTTTAAAATAATTAATATTTAAACATTCACATGTTTAAGAATGTTTACAGCATATATTATTATATAATTTAATTGACAATTCTCCAGTCAACTGAAGAATGATCATAGTGAAACATGACGCGGTTTTATATATAAATTACTATAGGTGCGAAAGT